GAAGGAGTGTCTCATCTGGGAGGGCTGTGGGAATGGCAGGCACAGTCAGGTCCGGAGCTGGGTGGGTGGGAAGGGGGGAAGCAAGTAGTGCTGGAGCTGGAGGGAGGGGGAGAATGCCAAAGGCTGGTCTGTGGTTTGTGATAGTGGACTATGAGCACTGTTTTGATCAAGTGGGAGTTAACAAACCTTTTGCTTCTCATTTTTAAGCTGCTTTGCAAAGTTTCTCATTAGTTCTTTTTTTTTTAGTTTATTTAGGACAACAGTGAACCTTTTTCTGCAGTGGCGTCTATGCAGTGCCACATGGTCTCACTGTGGATATTCAGACACAGAAACGTGCCCAAACCTTCCTCTCCACAAAAGGTATACCAGAATTAGGTAACTGTTAGGCCCCTTTTTCTCCCTCCTCTGCACACTGCATTAATTATTTCTAGGGGTGTACTTGGAGGCTGCTGACTAGCTTTGTTCACTAATCATGTAAAAGTTTGTTTAGCAAAAAAGGCAACAACTAGTGAATAATTACTTCTGATTTTTCTGAGAGTTTAGAAACAATTTTTTTTTGGTAGATCTATGTGTTTTCTGTGGTCAGTTTTATTTACTGTTGACATTGACTCGTGTCCTTACCTTTCCCATAGAGAATAATGATAAAACTGCTCAAAAATGGGTGAACTGATAGGGAAGGAGATCCAATTAAAAAAAAAAAAAAAAGAAAAAAAGGAGAGAGAACATGCAAACTTCATACTCTTTAAACTTGCCATTTCAAAACAGCAAGCAACTTCTAAAGCACAGGTCAGCTGGTACCGCTCTTATTGCTGTTACCATAGCAGAAACACAGAAATGTGATTAAATAAATAAAGCTAATCAGAAGCAAAAAACCAAAGTTTGCAGTAAAAACAGCTCAAGTTAACCTATTCTCAGAGGACTTTGAAAGAAAACATACTTCTAAAGATGTGCTGTGAGAGATTTCAGGCACAGCTGCAGAAAAAAAGGTATCCTTTCCCCCTCTTTAGAAGGATTAAATCTGTCCTGGAAATTAACCAAAGTGACAAATGGGCCATCATACAGGAACAACAGATTGAAGCCCAGAATGTGAAAAACTATGAGAAAGAAGAAAAATGTCCTGGAAAATGGCTACTGGATTTTTTTAAGGAACTTTAATGACAGACTAAGCAACCCAGGCATATTAATTCTATCTTTACTTGTTTCTTGTGATATGGAAAGTATCCTAAAAGGAATTAAAAAAAAAAAAAGTTCTTGCAGACAAAAACAGATAACAATTCCCCTGGTCTGAGTCTATAAATCCATAAAACATGTAAGTTTATAGCAACCTGTGTATGTCAGACTGTTCCACAGGAGGTAATGTAACATTTTCCGAGTTACAAAGGACACAAAAATGTCTGATCTCTGTAGCTGGATGTGTAACCAGTCTCTCCTTCTTTAAGGCAGGTCTTCTGAGCCCTCTACAAATGTTAACGAATACCCAAAAAAGGAACAAAACCCAAGTCTTGGTCTCCTGTATGCAGTATAGGGCAGCGATTGAGAGTACTGAGGCTTGATGTTTAGAACAAAAGGAGTTTACCTCCGAACTGGAATGAAATAAAGGGTGGAGTTGTAAAGACCAGAAAGCACTACTAAGATCAGCATTTTGAAATTAAGCTGTGGATCTGGGAGGCAGTTTTAAAGTCTGTTCCCATGGCTGTGCAAAATTCCTGCAGCATGGGTGTCATGCTGTAGAGCTGGAGCATATTTGCTGGGACTGTGGATAGCCAGAAGTCTTGCTGTTTAGTGAGACGACTGTTTTTTCTCAGCGTGACAAATGACATGCAGCACTGACAGAATACTTCTCCTTTGCTGGCCATCACCCCTACGGACACTGGCCAGAACAGCAGCAGCAGGAACATACCCTCCAACTCTGATTTAATCACATGGAGCCCAGGAGACTAGTGAATAGAGCTGTTAACTCTCTGTTTGGTTTGCTTTTCCCATCTGTGTTTGATTAAACTGAGAGCAAGATTTATTCACTTTTTTAACATCAGGAGCTGTTGGTGTCCAAGATGATGGTTGATGTTAAGGTATACATACACAGTTTAACCTGGCTGAGGGCCAGAGAGGCCTATGATTTCCAGCCTACACAATTTATTTGCAAAAGGACACAAAATCCCTCTGCTCTCAGACATTTCTGAAAGGATGAGCACAACTGCTTCCCGCTCTCCCAGGAACACAGTGCATAAAGAACACAGTAAAACAGTAGGCTCTCCAGGATGAGCCAGGCTCTCCAGGCACGCAGGCAAACACTTCAGTTTTACTTTACTCCCGACAGCCCCTACATAGTCACAACTACCAACGATTTTCTGATTTCCACTCCAGGAATCTTAAATAGATTGGAGATACCAGCTCAGTGTATAAATATTTCTTCTAAAAGCCAAGAATCCTGAACGGCTCAGCTGGGGAATTGCACTTTATGGGAACTGAAATTATGTGCCAGGCTCTCCGCTGTAAGGTGGGGTAGCTGAGGCGCAGACACTCGCATGCCTAATGAGCTACACGAGAATAACACTCGCTTCTAAAGGTGAAGAAAAGGAACCAAAAGATGGGATTTTGAATTGCTTTGAAAAAACAAACTTTTCCTCAAACAACAGGGTTAACTCAAGATAGAAAGATCAAGTGTGCATTTTTCAGACCTGTAAAGAGGTTTCTTTTAAATACAGAAGTTTCAAGCGATAACAAATAAAGCTCCCAAAATCCAGAGCTTCAGTGCAAACAGCCTCCAACATTCTTGACACTTTTCCAAAACTTCTGGGCATTTTCTTCTCAACAACAAGCTTCTTTCCAAAACGTACCACTCTCCCCCTCATCTCTTAATCATCACTTGTCTCATCAAAACTAACATGGTGACATCCACTTTCTCTATTGCGTTGCTACTATCCCTACAAGTACATTGTGGATCATCAGGTCTGCCAGATTTGTTGTTATCTACAAAAACTCTGCATTCTGGTCTATTCCAGGCAAATGCCTTTATAACATCATATGAATATCATATTTACTGTGGCACCTACACAGAGTATCATTATATTCCAATGATTCTTGTAACAATAAGCTTCATGGTACCCCCATATGGCAATAAAAAGTATTCTGAATTAAGACAAAATTGTTACTTCAGTAGAGCTTAGAAAATAAACTGTATCTCTCAAAGCTTATTCAAAGTCCACCATTGGTTTGCTTAAAACAGTGTTTCTATCACTCACATATCCATCTTCCCCAGAAGCTTTAATAGAGGCTGCAGATTCTGGTTCCATGTGTGATAGTTCCTGTTCTGAATTGACTTCCAATGTTAAACAAAAAGGCAATGACTTTTGTTACTATTTTATTCAAGAAGAATGGTCTTTTTTCCATGCTCTTTCACATTTTTATCATCTGTGAGATGACAGTAGGAGCTGTGCATGAGCCAGTACAAATTAAGCAGCATTCATGTGCTTTCTCTTTTATAGCTTTTAAGAACACTGGCAGAAAATGATGGAATCTGCAAGTTTCAGTTTTCTTGGTTTCTAATGAAAAAAGAATTTGAATTGTATGCAGTGTTAACTCAAAGTGAGGAACTTGGTCACTGTACCGAGTCGTACCCTTCAGACCCAATGCTGGTTATGCATTTTATTCAACACATTAAAAGCAGACTGTACGAGACTGATTCCCATAGGAGGCAGCAGACTCTAGGAGAGAAACCTGATCCCTGAGCACTGTGTTAAAAGCTGCATAACTTATGTTTTTGAATGAAAACCCATGGGTCTAGAGTGTTCTGCACTGAATAAATTCTCCACTGTGTTAGCTGTGTCTATAGCCACAGTTCCCTCAGACCCCCATTTCCCTTTTGGCGAATACAGGTACAAGGCAGGTTGTTATAGCAATATTACAAGAAACTTGATTTAGGCATGAGAAAGGTGTCAGGGTGACCCATCCCACTGAGAAGGTGATCTCTTGTCATGCACAGTGGCACACCTTGTCGATGCTTAGGGACTTTCAGTGGTGAGAATACAGGGCTGCTCAGGTTTCTAAGGTGAGCCGAGTCACTGTTTGTGGCACGTATATTCCTCCAGAGGGGTAGGTGCTGAAGTTGTTTGTTGGTGGGGTTTTTTTTGGTTGGGTTTTTTTTTTAATTCTTAAGTTTTTGTTTGGTTCTGCTTAGAGACCACAAACAGTCCCTGTCTTGATGGCCTCAGGATCACCAGTAGCTGCTAGCATTGCTTGAATACCAGTGCAAAGTTTCTCCTTCTGACTCTGTCAAGTAGGAGGACAGAAGGCAGTCCAACTCCAGATACTTGGTACAGGGATTTTGATCACACACAGAAAAATAATACTGTTTATCTAAGAATGCTATGTAAGTACTGTTATGCAAAAATGGCTTCTTTTTCCTCAAAGCTACCCCTATTTACAGAAGATTATTTAGAAGTCGTAGAAACTCAAAGAAGGCCTCATGCCAAAGGCTGTTTGGATAAATTGGATATTTAGACAAATTCTAAAGTAGACTAAATAAAATAAATACAGAAGTATCTGTAAAATTATATTACAGAAGAGAAACCTGGTTAAGTATCATCCCATCCAATTGCTTAAATGTTAAATACTTAGTCCAAGATTCGTGAAAATGAATCCCTCTGAAGAATCAAATTTCTTCCTAAAAGAACTGTCAAATTGCCATTTGTATAACTATTGAAATATTAGGATAGACTCAATTTGCCTTTACATGCAGTGTACTTTATTTATAAGTCTTTTGTTAATTTTGGTATGAGTTCAGCTTTGTTTGTAATGAACTGACATTTTCAGATGTCAGTGCCTGTAGGTGTAATAATCCCAAGTTAATTCCTTCTTCAGATTTTCAGCAATGAATACACTAGATCTGGGGCTGGGTTTTATTCTGTTTTTTACCAAATATTCTTTGCAACTACAGATGTTTAATTAAAGGCTGTTAGACAATTTAAACTTCTCAGAAGAATACAAATAAAAGCTGGTAATGAAGTAAATATCTGTTTAATTTACAAACATCAGTAGCATTACTGATATCAGTCCAAATAAGACAAAGCACACTGCATTACACATGTACATCTAACTTTTTTTGTAAAAAAAATAATAAAATAAAATTGAAAAACATCTGCATTTTTACAGGGTACCCTGGGTTTTACTGAAAGAAGAACACAACCCACTATTGATTACCAATTCTACATTATAATTTAGCAGCAACATGTTAACATGGGGAACATTAGGGCAGTAAAGTAGTTTTATTATTTGGGGAAAAAGTCACAGTTCTTGATAGCACAGCCTTTTTTTCTTTTTTTATAAAAAAGGTAAAGAGCTCCATGGGAATATTAATTTATAAAGATCTACCTTCTAATGTCATTTTCTACACGCCATCTTATTTTCTGTAAGTACTGTATATAGGGAAAATTAACTTCTCTACAATTGCCACCTAGTGTAAAGACATTTTCTGTCACACATTACAGGTTCTTGGAAGGTGTCCTGAATATCTGCTGTATGTGAAAACTGCAGATTGTCATCACTTTCAGATTCAGTGACACCAAGTGGTCAGATTCTAAGGAAAAGCAAACCGAAGGGGGAGGGAGAGGAAAAAACAGACCGAAAACATTTACCCCAAGACGACATGCTACGTTAGTTCTATTGCAAAAAATCCTGATTTTTAAGTCCTTTTAAAAAAAAAATAAAAAAAATTACAAAAATACTGGGACAAATATAAATTAATATATATTAAAGCATTGAAAAACAGTAAAAGGGATGGCCTAAAAGGGTTAAGTACAATGTACTTTGATACAATAAATATTTCTCAATGAAACCGAATACTGTATAGAGTTGTTTAGAACTCATAGAAACAGAAATCCATATTATTACTAATTTATCCATCAATAATCTATTTTTATCATCCCCAAAACATTTATATTACAAAAAATTAATACTGGAAAAGGGCAGATAAACACTTTTTTATGATTCTTTTGCTAACATGCTGACATAAAAGTATACATCATCAGGAGATTTCAGGATTATAGTATATTCTCATATCTCCCATTTCCCATCCATTAAATGGGACTCCATCTTCTCAAGATGCTTAATAATTTCAAAAGATAAAATGCATTTCATACAATTGTTATTTCTGTATAATCTGATTCTTTTCACTCATAATGCTTCCTCGTCCATAGGTAAGTGATTGGTATGGTCTGTCAAGACAATAAAATATACTGATATGAAAGTGAAAAAACAAGCCTCATGTTCTGGTCAATATTTCATCTCTGAGCTGTTAAGTTGAAAGTCACATGTGTATAGTGTCAGTGTATCTTCAGCATGTTATAAAGAAGAATCCATGTTAAAAGCAGTTAAAGTTTCCCATCTCTGTTGCAATGTTACCAGGTCTTTTTTTTTTCTTCAAAGCTCCTCTTGGTTATGAGAAGTCTCAGTTCAAGCACTTGAATCTTTTTTCAAATGAAGAAAAAGTCTTTATTCTCATAATAAAAATAAGTCTGTTCTGTATTTTACAATATATTTCAAATATTTCCACTATGAAGCATTAATTAGTCCGACACGGTCAATAAGTATACAACATTTTCAAAAGACAAGTGTGACAGGGACACTTAGGAGGGACAATTTGTACAGCCACACTTCACCACTTTTTCAACCTCGTCCACAAATGATGACCCGTCAGTGCATTCAAAAGAATATTTCCGCCTCTTGCTCCTCAGTGGCCCACAGCACTGCCCGGTTGAACATCCTCCTTTACATTCTAATCTCGATACCTTCTTGGTCGTCTGGCACGCAGCATACCCTTGCTGCTTTTGGTAGTAATCTCGGATTCGTTCCCCTCGACAAGAGACTTCTGTAGGAAACAACATTTAAAATAAGAGAGACACTTTTGAGACACAGGTCAAAGAGTGGTTGACATTGCTAAGGAAGATGCTGTATTTCTAATTGCAGTTGGGATTGATATTTTAAAGCTTGACTCAGACTGTATATTGGAAACTAGTGGTTCTATCAAACATGATTTGATTAATGCTGAGTTTTATTTCCTATACCTCCTATTTTCAGTAAAGTTTATGTTATGTATATGTAAACCATAAATACAAAGCTATTACAATGACAAGAAAATTGGAAGCTTAAATCTTTTCCTCTTTTGTAAAAATACACATCTTCTGTTCCTACATTGTTTGCAGCTGGTTCTATTTACCATAGGGAAATGTTTCAGAGAGCATGCAATTTAATTTATTAGACCTGGAGTTTAATATTATTCAAACTGTTATTTAATACAAGTTACATTCCACTAACTTCATAAATTACTGAGGTATAAAAGCAGCTAAAAATGAGACATCTGTTAAAAGTTCTACAACCATACTCTTCTATTCTATTCACATCTAT